CCCTACTTCATTGGTGGGGTGTTGAGGATAGGTGATCTAATCGTGGGGAAATATGCGAGCAAGGCGTGGGAAAGTTCGGCTGAGTTGGTCCGAGTCCCGCATAAGTAAAATATAGGTCACATTTGATGTTTGGAGAATTCTGACTGTAATAAAAGAATGGAATGGGCTGAGGAATGCATTGTGCTCCAATGGGGGGGGGAATCAGGGGGGGAAGGATTTGGGATATCCGGAGCGCCCTCTAGAGGGCAAGTTCATTGCCGCCAGGAATTCTCCAGGTCCCTTTTCTCTTCTCTTTCCAACAATTTTTGAAAAGAAAAGAGAGATTGACATTTTTACAGCCAGGTCTGGCTCGGAGGAGCCGTTTATAAAGGCAGATAAGGTGTTGTTGTTTGCCCTGATCAGCTCTGAGGTGTTTTTTTTTATTATTTTATTTTAGGTGGGCATTTATTGTTAGCCCTCTTGAACAGCCTTTTTGGCCAGATGGGGCAAAATAAAGCATTAATAACGTACAAGCTTGGGGGCGTCCCCTCCCTTTTTCGCCGATCGGCCTGTGCAGTTTTGTGAATGCGAGAAGCACTTTTGTTTCCCCGGCGTTTTAATGATGTAGTTGGGCTTAATTGTGAATGCTTCCATTGAAAATTCTTCATGCTCTGTGCTCTTAGGAAAGGGGATAGATAAAGGGATTTTTGTTGTTGTTGTTGTTGTTGCATGGGGGAGTACTGGGTCTGCCCACCCACCCCTTTTGCAAACGTGATAAACATTGTGGAACATCTTGAGGAATGGCCCCAATCTTTTGGCCTTCTGCAAAGGGGTCAAAACTTGGCTTTGTGGGGACACAGGGACCCACATAACCACAAGGAAGGCTGGCCCCACGAGAACACACACACACACACACACACACCGCCTGTACAGGTAGTACTTGACTTGCAAACGTTCATTTAGTGACTGTTCGAAGTTACAACAGGGCTGAAAAAAGTGACCTCTGACTGTTTTTCATGCTTACAATCATTGCAGCATTCCCCTGGTCACGTGATCAGAATTCGGATGCTTGGCAACTGACTTGTATTTATGACGGTTGCATGTGATCAAATTTTGCAACCTTCTGACAAGCACAATCAATGAGGAAGAGAGAGACTCACTTAACAGCTGGGTTATTAACTTAACAACTGCAGTGATTCAACTAACAATAGTTGCAAGAAAGAGCATAAAATTCGGGCAAAATTCACTTAACAACTATGCTTAGCAAGAGTAGCATCCGACCCTCTCAATTCCTGGCAAATAGATGGGGAAGAAATGGAGGTAGTGACAGATTTTATCTTCCTGGGCTCCAAGATCACCGCAGATGGGGACTGAAGCCAAAAAATTAAAAGATGCTTGCTCCTGGGGAGGAAAGCTATGGCAAATCTAGACAGCATACTAAAAAGCAGAGACATCACCCTGCCAACAAAAGTACATATAGTCAAGGCCATGGTTTTCCCAGTTGCAATGGATGGCTGTGAAAGTTGGACCATAAGAAAGGCTGAGCGCCAAAGAATTGAGGCCTTTGAACTCTGGTGCTGGAGAAGACTCCTGTGAGTCCCCTGGACTGCAAGGCCATCAAACCGGTCAGTCCTGGAGGAGATCAACCCCGACTGCTCTTTAGAAGGCCAGATCCTGAAGTTGAAACTCAAGTACTTTGGCCACCTAATGAGAAGGAAGGACTCACTGGAGAAGAGCCTGATGCTGGGAAAGATCGAGGGCAACAGAAGAAGGGGACGACAGAGAATGAGGTGGCTGGATGGAGTCACTGAAGCAGGAGGCATGAGCTTAAAGGGACTCCAGAAGATGGTAGAGGACAGGAAGGCCTGGAGGAACGTTGTCCATGGGGTCGTGATGGGTCAGACACGACTTCGCAACTAACAACAACTGCTTAGCAACAGAAATTTTGGGCTCAATTGTGGTCGTAAGTCAAGGACTACCTGTATTACTTTTACTTAATGATATCTTAGCTGTTCGGTTTTCAGTTTTATCTTTTCTCTCTGGCTTTTGGCTATAGTAAAGATTTGAATTCATATAAACCCCCTGGAGAGGGAGACGTACTCACTGAAAAGATGTCCCGGAGATCATTTTTTCACTTAGTTTTACCTAAAGCAACAGAAACAGGAAAAAAACCCAATGTATTTGTGATTAGATTACATTTGTGCCTTTATTTCTGTACAACTCAAGATGTAACACCGTGATCTCTCCTGCTGTTTTCCTCAGAATAACCCTGTGAGGTGGGTTGGGTTGAGACCGAGAGAGAGGAACTACCCCAAAATCACTAACTGGCTTTCATGCCTAAAATGGAACTAGAACTCCCAGTTGCCTAGCTTCTAGTCCAGCAGATTCGCCATTACACCAAACTGGACTGTTTCGGAATTGAACCAAAACAGACTTATCTTTTTGCAAGGAGATGATGAGTTCAACCACGATTTGTTGAATCAACTCTGATTAGTTAGGTCCACCCAGCACACCAAGTCATAAATCATAGCTTGCAAACACAGTTGGATGAAATCATATACTTACATTTTTTTTTCTCTTCCTCCCTTAGAACAGATTAAATCTAAGCCCGTTGGGGTTAAATCTTAAGTACATTCTTGTTAATTTAAAGGCCATCAAAGAAAGGATCCATTTTGGACTATGGAAATATTGATTCCAAGTCTTCTCCTCCATGGAAAAAACTTGTGACTGGGAGTCCCCCAAATTCTCAGAATCGGAATGCTCATTTTTTTTCACTCACACACCCCAAAAGGCAATGCTTTAGATCTGATTCTGAAAATTGCAGAAGAGTACAAGTACAGTGATTCATTAAAGCAGCCATGTGAACTTAGAAACAGACATGGGTGTTTTAATGAGTTTGTCCAAAGCAACTTTTTAAACTCGAAGCAGAAACATTGCAAAGTACAACTTGAAAAAGTATTTGGCAGCAGATGGCCGACTGTGATTGACCTTGGCTGAAATCAGAAAGGGAAGTAGGGCTAGATCTGCTTAGCATTTGGATAAAAGATCTTCAGGAAGTCCCAAGGCAGTGGACTAGATTGATAAGTCGAAAAGAGAAGACGAAAGGGAACCAGAAGATAGCTTCTCTACTCTTGCCAAGAAGACATCATGGTTGTGTTTATGTTGAGTAAACTCAACTCCGAAAAAACGTTTTAAAACAAAAAACTGCCACCCATTCCAGATATTTTTTCAGAGAGGTCTTAATTTTCCAATAAGAGGAGAAGGAATTATGGGACCAGCTTTCTTGATTTAATTTTGGAAGTCGAGATCTATGAATAGTTATGAGTATGGTAGTAGGGTCAAACTCCTACAGAACGTGACAGGTGGTGCATGACATTTCAAATGAAATTTCAAAACCTTCGGAGATAGGGTACCTCTGAACAACAGGTGTGGGAGGATAGCAGTGGGTGACTAAAATGTTATATTCTCTTTTGTACAGAGTTCCAGCTGATCCTGTTGGATACAATGCTGGTTTGATCCAGCACGTCTTAACTTGAATATATGTCTGACATGCAACGAAGAGAGTTGGGAAACTTGCTGGAGGAAGACCCTCACGCAGGTGGGGGTGCTGATGGACCAGGCTGGCACAATAAGCAGAAGCTGGATGTCCTTCCTAGGTCTGAAACACCTGAGATTCTTTCTAGGACAGTGGTTCTCAACCTGTGGGTCAGGACCCCATTTGGGGTCGATCAACCATTTCACGGGGGTCGCCAAGCAAGGCTGTCCGCCATTTTTTTTGTCCGCCATTTTTTCCCCTTTTCCGGCGGGTGCCTTACCTCCCTTGGGCTGGGCCAGCTGGTGGTCGGCCTGCTCCGTCTCTGCCGCTTGCCAGCTACACCTCGGCCGGCGTAGGGGGCGGAACCATGCATGTGCGGCGCTCCCGGGCAGGGAAAGTCCTCGACTTATTTATTTATTTTTATTTATTTATTTTGATTTATATCCCGCCCTTCTCCCAACGGGACTCAGGGCGGCTCACAACATATTTAAAAACAGAAACGTATTTACAATCCCCACCAAATAAAACCAAATTAAAACCAATTATTTAAAGTTGTGCTGCTTAAAATTTTTCTTAAAATAAACCCGATTTAAAATAAACTCGATTTAAAATCCTCCCTAGGCCAGGCCTGCTTGCTGGAAAAGCCATGTCTTGAGGGCGCGGCGGAAAGTAAGGAGATCCGGAATCATCCGGATCTCGGGGGGTAGTTCGTTCCAGAGGGCGGGGGCACCCACAGAGAAGGCCCTCCCCCTGGGGGTCGCCAGCCGACATTGCTTGGCCGACGGCACCCTGAGGAGACCCACTCTGTGGGAGCGTACCGGTCTATGGG